TAGAAAAACTATATTTTATGAATAATTAGAAACTTTTATTAGGATTAAACTTTGACGTAAAATATAGGATGTGGTGCAATCCAGTCAACTAAAAACATAAGAATAGCTATAACGTCATCTCTGTAAAGACCCTGAGGGGGAGGGGGGGTACCTCAATGGTACCTCAATGGTACCTCACTCGAGTGATGCAGAACCGGCACTTCATATCTACTAGCATTTCGGTAGTTCACCTTTTTAACACAATTCCCCCTCTCTCCCTATTGAATGTTTTTCGCTTATCTGTTTGAGCTATAGCGCGACTGCTCACGTACGTGCCATTTGCTACATTGATCAATTTGTATAGGGGGGGATCAAATCATGATCCAACTGAAATATTTGCACGCGTTCAATTTTCAGCGATCGTTTCAACAATAACGGCAACGATTGTAGGAAGTGCTATTTCTATGAACGTACCCTTTAATAGCGGARGCCAACTTGTTATTTCAAAGCGATACCCAGTATTTTTCTTTAACGGATACGTGGACACCTGATATGAAAGAAATTTCAGTGGATTAGTAAAATAAGTCTCAGCTGTAAAACTGTAGACTATTAATCATTAATAGTCTACAGTCTTTACAGCTGAGACTTATTGTACTAATCCACTGAATCTGTGTCTGGGTCTCTGAATCTGTGGTGCAAGCATTCCCAAAAAAGTCAAAAGACACAATCATGGCGACCATTGTGGTGCCGTTAACAATGGATGCTAATAAGAAATCTTTTGTTAAATGGCACCAACGCTCCCACGAGAGGCCGCGATGACGTAACGCGCAATCGAAGAATTGCTTGTTTTTGTAGGCACGTCGAGGCACGTCAACCATATCGAGAATACCTATTGGAATTTAGAAGTTGATTTTTGCAGAGGAATGAAAACCAGAAAATCCACAACAAACTCAGCTCATGTATGACACCGAATTCAAGAATTGAACCCGGGTCGCAGCGGAGAGAGGCAAACGTTCTCATCTGATTCGAGAGTCTTCTCCGGATTTTCCTTTCATCGCAAAACCTAACAAAATGAATCCCTATTAAATGAATTCCTGAATCCCATCTGTGAGTTAACGGTTCCACGACTTGATGAGCCAATAGGGTGCTTCAGAGTTTGATGAAAGCTTAAGATGAAGGTTTGCATGAACCTTACATTTAAGTTAATCGCTTGAGGGTATTTCCATCCATAATCTGTTTCATTGATAATGAAGAACGTCCGATTCTGTGCACGAAGAAAAAATGATAAATGATGAAAAAAAATTGCGCCATCATCGGTTCAACATCAAGATATCAGTTGTTTTCTTTTTTAATTTCAATAGTATATGCTATTGTATACCTTGGATATCAGATTACAGTTAACAAGTTCTGGCGATGTTGTAAGCCATTGAATGACATAGTGAGTCCAGTTCCTGGATATTTTAGGATCTGGAAATAACGAAATTAAGTATTATGAAGGCATTTCAATAAATTATTCGAATGGATAAGAGAGCAAGCAAGTAAGGAAGCAATCAAGCAAAACAACAGGCGCGCAACTAAGCAAAAAATCAATCAACCAAATGGCCAAGCAAGCAAGCAAGCAAACCTAGCACTTGCATGCTATCAATTACGACAAAGTTTTTTAAGTTAGAAAATAGAAAACATTATACCGGTCAAATGAACGTCTTTTTGTTTATAATTATTCTTCATATCGTTGTTATATGTTTTGGACTTACTTACCATTGAGTGCATCCCACGTTATGTTGATGTACCAGAAGTTTTCTGAATGATGAAAATTCACCTTGACTCCTTTCACTAAACCAACAAAGTCATTTGATGCCTTGTCATACATTTCCTGGCAAACTAAAAGAAGAAACATACTCAATTAGTTCATTTCCCATACTGGATCTGTAAGCCAGCATATTCCAAGGAAGCTATTACTAGGAGCATCCATCTCCCATACTGGGTCTGTGAGCCAGCATATTCCCAGATCAGGAACCTATTACTAGGAACATCCATCATCCATTAACAATTTTACAATAACTTACAAATTTTTCGCGCGCTGATTGGTTATTTTTTATCATGAATAAGAGGACAGACAGATAAAGCTGACTTCGTGTCGGTTCACGAGTCAAAATATTCCCAGATAAGGGGCTGGTCAGGGATGACATAAGTAAATTGAGTACCATGTTAACTTAAAGAACCTTTCTTATTGAGTGGTAATTATTTAATATTTAAGCAATAGAAAACTTTTTCCGTGTTTACATAGCCTGATAGCAACACGAGGGGAGGTTGGGAGAATTCGAGACAGTTATGCAAACCCGAGACGTAGTCGAGGGTTTGCATAACTGTCGAGAATTCTCCCAACCCC